TATTTGCTTGTCGGAGTCTTGTCGCCCAAATGGCATGATATATCGAATGTCTCTTTTATTTTTATTTTTATTTTCAAACGTGAAGTTGTGAGTTACAATATTTAACGAAAGATATAGTAGACACGTGAGTCACGATTTAAAAAAAAAAAATCTGATTCTCTTGTGGCTATTTAAAAAAAAAAAAAAAGTTCCTTCTCGCTGGACATTCAAAGCATGAAAAATTTGAAACCTGTGAATTCCAAAGCATACCTTGAAGGCCTAATGATTCCACTAATGTCTCCTAATATCCTCATTTTACTTCTCTTCCTTCTGCAAATCCGCAGCTGCCTTAAAAGTGCCTGCATGATCCAAAGAGAGATTAGAATCAGATTAACTTACAAAAAACTAACATATCCAAACAAATCAATGGATGAAGATGAAGAAATTATATTAATTAAATACCTCAGCCATATTGCAAATGTAATTAGGAACTGTGGGCAGTGCTCTGCTCCCTACTTGCACAAAACATTCCACTGTCAAGTGCTCAAATCTAACCTCCACCTTTGGAAACCCCAAATCTACCCTGTGTTCATGCAGAAGAATAGAGTATCTTCATCTCATTTAGTTCCTCTATGTCATTCAAAGGAGAAGAAATTAAAATGCGGATGATTGATTGGTAAACGCAGAAAACTCAACAGGCTTTGAAACTGATTACTTACGCGTCAAACCGGTGTCTGATCTGATTAAAGAACTTCTCGGGATCGTGATCGGCCGACTTCATCAGTCTTTCCAAGATCAGCTTCCTTTTCTCTGCACCAAGCTTTCTCACATCCACCACTCTCCGATCACCTCGTAGATCCTTGAAGATGCCTCTGCGAACTCGCGCGTACGTCGGCAGCCTCTCCAGTGCCGCCCTCTCTTCTTCCCTGAACGCCGCCGTTCTTGCAAACACATTCTCGCCGGAGTTCCACATTACGAATCCACAGCTGCCTCTTCACACTCCCAAGCAACACATCCAATACTTAATTAATGCCGATACGGTTTCAGAGAAGAAAATGCAGAGCAGTGAGAGGGAGAGAGAAGTGCGTTCGCGTGTCTGTAACTAAATAGTTAGCAGAAAGGAGAAGCACAAATAGTACGGCCATTTCAACCTAATTTCCAGGTTGTTTTCTTCTGAATGGGGTTGGGTTGTTCAACAGCCAGTGGACTCTTCGCTGTGTAGATATTACAAATGGTTCACCAGAAAGATTCACAGAATTTTCAAGTTCCATTGCTCGTTCCATTAATCCTGGACGTCAGTTCTTATCAGCCATAACATGTACATTTTTGTCCTTATGAAGGAGATTAATGCTTACTAGTAAAAAGGTTTAAGTAATCTGGTGAAGTTGGTTTACCAGCACTTGACCGCAACTAACACAGGCATCACCTTCGTCTTCGCATAGACGTGTGTGTGTGTGTGTGTGTAGCATAAAATTAAATAATCTCCAAATTTCAATTAATGAGACCCAAAACACACCTAGATTCGTAGTGTAGGTTAGTTTTTGATGAAAGCATCCATCTTTTGAGGTGAATCATCGATCATTTTTAGGTACTACATAGTTATTTCATTTTCCAAGTCTTGTTTTTTTAATGATAGTTCGATCTTTGGTAAAAATTAGAATTGACAGTAGTATTATTTAAGTTATGAAAGGAATATATTTTAAAACACTAAATTATTAAAGTAATGATAAATCTTAATTATCATTAAACTTCTTTGTTGTGCTATTTATTTGTTATGTTTATGAAAGAAGTGATTTTTTTATAATTTAAATTATACTCGGGATTTTTTGTAAGATACAGATGCAAAAAATTAGTTAAAATTAATTAAATGTAATAAATATGGAAAAAGAATATAACTTATTTTTCAAAAACATATTTATTTATAGAGAGATGAAAAAAAAAGGAGCAAATTAGATAATTAATGCAATAAAATTAACCAATAATTAATGGGACCAAAAATAAAAAGTTATACTGAAGATTCCAAACACACTAGGGTTGTAGAGTCGAGAGTTTTATGTCATTGACCTAAAATTCAGAAGGTTTTGTGTATTTTAATTAAAATAAAAATGTGTTATTTTTATAAAAAATTTCTTACATGTGGGGTTGGAGAGAGCACTTTATCTTATTAGGTGTAAATGGGCTATGCGTCAAGAGAAGTTAAACGAGCGTCAGAGTCAAGGGTGCGTTATTACCAAAAAAAAAAAAAAAAACAAAAAAGTCAAGGGCGCGTTTCGTATGGGAGAAAATGAGAGGAGGTGGAAAATTTTAATAAACTCGGTTTAAAAAATTAAAAAATAGGATTAGAAGCTTTTAATTAATTTTTATTACTCTTTTATATTATTTATTCTCTTTATTAAAATTTCAAAACCTCACTTCTCCAATTTTTTACGTAGAGCCCATTAAAATTTTCCTTCACCTCCCCTCCCTTTCATTTCCAGCAAACAGTACCTAAAAATGGTAAAAGCGGAATAAAGTGACGTTCACATAAATGAAAATTGTAATGAACGTAACTTTGCTTTCATTGAGAAAAGCGTGAAGATGAATACATTTAAGGTATGTTTGGTATGAGAGGAGGAGAGGGAGGGAGAAGGATTTTAATCATCTTTCTTTATTTGGTAACACACAAATTTTAGGAGAGAAAAAATTTTAAAAAATTTTCCCCCTTCCGTCCAAAATTGAGAGAATTTGGAAGGTAGTGACAATATTTTAGCATGTTGTGACCATTATGTCCATATTTTAAATAAAATAAGGGCAAAATTGTTCATATTAAAATATTTTTTCCTCTCCTCTCTTCATGAATCAAACAAGGTAATATTAAAACTCCTCCCCTCCCCTTCTTTTTTATAAATCCAAACAAGGTAATATTAAAATCTTTCCACTCTCCTCCCCTCTCCTTTCCTCCATTAAAATCCCTCCCCTCCCTTCCTTCTCATTGAGTCAAACAGACCCTTAATGTGATAGAATTTCTTTTTTTTAGTAGGTTATTATAAGGTGCCAATAAATGAATATATTCACTAAAAAAGTCTTATAAGAAAACAGAAAAATATGTAATGACAAATTCTAGAATAAAAAATAACATGTTCTAATTGTTCACTTGTTATTAAAACTATTTAATAATTACTATATTCCTTATTTAGACCCCGCAATAATTCTCTTACTTGGCTTGGCCAACCAGAAGTTGATATTAATTAAACTTGTAAAAATGGGAAGATTAATTAGTTTTGTCAGGCTGTGGAATATAACCAACCAAAAGAGGACCAGCTTGTTAATAAAAAATGACTAATGTCACTTTTGCGTCTGCTTGTGATTAATAATAAATCTGTGTGCTGATCCGAATGGATATGCTGATCAATAATCTCACGCTTCATGCAGAAACGTTTTTTAATTAATTACTTCCCTACATGATCAAGCATCACCTTCACCCATACCTCATCCAATTCTTAACATTTAATCTAAATTAGATGGTAACAATGGTCTTTTAATTTTAAGAAAGAGGAATATATAATTTTAGACAAGGAAAAAAAGATAATTAAATTGTGCATTTCTCAAACACAAAGGTAATTTATATTTGCTTTTTTTTAATTAGCAGGACAATCATTAACGGTTTGAGATTACAAGTGAAATCAAACCAGGGACGTTCTACTTATAAAATGGCTTTTATGCCACTAAAGGTGGAGCATCCCAAAAGTGTGTGTTTTTTTTTAATGAAATGGATAATTTTGATTACAAAATAAACTATACAAAGTCAAGCAATATACAAGTAAGAGGATTTACATGATTAAATTGAAAGTGGAAAAGCCTTTTAAAAAATGCCTAACTATAGCACAAATAATGCTTATCAAAATATTTTCAGCGGTATAATTCTTAATGGAAAAGAAATGGTGATTCTTTGCTTCTCATAAAATACACTTTTTCGCAAATCAAGATAAACCCTCCACATGTTTATTTTGTATATTGTAAAATCATTTTTAAAATTATGGTTTGATTTTCATTTAAACACCTCTAGATTACAAGATGATTAGGAGTTTATAGTTACAGTTTCGTGGTGCTATATTCCACTAAGATTGGGAATCACTTATCAATACTGATATCATGTTTTGATTTTTCATTAAACTTCATTCGATGCAGAAGTCTTGAATAATAACATTAGGTATGTTGACTAATCGCACTTTCGCGAGAGCTAGGATGATTAGCTTGGGAGTTTTTCAACCAGTCAAATTCAAATAAGCTTTCATTACGGGCTAGAACATTTATATTACAAATCAGTCCACACGCTTTCAGGTCTTAAAAATTTTCTTTTCATCTTAAATCTAAAACCCATATTTACTATATCTCCTAAATTTATAATTTTAATTTTTAAATTATCCTTATTTTCATTGCACATACAAAAAAAAAGAGAGAATGTTTTCATTGCCAACGATTAAAAGGATATATCATTAAAACCAATATATATATTTTTCTATAAATAATTAACTTAACAAATTTTTTTAATATTTGTAAATTAGTTATGTAAACTAATTGATCATATATTCAGCTGTTTGTTTTGCGCAGATTGTTGGATTACTATACTTGACTGGATAGGAATCCGCCAGAATAATATTTCTAGCTATGGCGGGTTATTTTGACTGAACAAAATTATCTTCATTGTAGAACTTATTGTATTTAATAAAAAATGCGAAGTAATAGTAATAATTAAAATGAAATTAAAACGACAGAAAGAGCTGGACATCCAATTCTAAGTTGATATTATCGTAACACGATTTAGAATACAAAAGGAGAGTCAAATCCTAAAAGACTAGCCTATTAGGAGGAAGAACTTATTGAACTTATAAATTCCACAGTATTTATGAGATTTTCCGTGCAACTCATAACATATGGCCTGGCATGATGCTTGATGAGAAAGAGAGAAGCGAATTAGAAAGCTTGAATTATAAATAAGGAGGCAATTCCAATTAAAATGAAATTAAAACGACAGAAAGAGCTGGACATCCAATTCTAAGTTGATATTATCGTAACACGATTTAGAATACAAAAGGAGAGTCAAATCCTAAAAGACTAGCCTATTAGGAGGAGAACTTATTGAACTTATAAATTCCACAATATTTATGAGATTTCCCGTGCAACTCATAACATATGGCCTGGCATGATGCTTGATGAGAAAGAGAGAAGCGAATTAGAAAGCTTGAATTATAAATAAGGAGGCAATTCCATTTTATTCATCAAGAGGTTTATGGAAGACACAGAAGAGGAGGAGGAGAAGACGAAGACGAAGATCTTCAGACAACATAATTAAAGGTCACAGAGAGAGAGAGAGAGAGCAGAAGCACAGGAGAAGACGATGAAGATTAACTAAGGGCAGCAGCAGCAGAGAATATCGAAGCAGCACTCGCAGGTCTCATAGCAGCAGAAACAGCAACACAAGGTGAACAAACTGCGTTCGTTACGTTCAATCATAAGAATCAAAACCTCAGCACAAGAAATAATCATCAAACTAAACAAAGAACTGCAGGAACTAGAAATAATCAAAAACAAACCAGGCATAGAGACAGCCCTTCTCTTCATGGCGTTTCTGAACATGTTCATAATAACTCATCTCCTGCTGTCCTGGAGCGTCCATCTTTCTTTCTTTCTTTCTCTCTTTTCTTTGTTTCTTTCCTCAAAACACAACCACATGAACATACAACCAAATCCGCTCCTTACATATATATAGTAATGCTCATGATCCAATCTACTTAATATTCACTTGTTACTGTTACTCTTCTTTTTTCAAAGGGGAGGAAAAAACAAAAGAAAATCCTTACGCTCTAAGTCTCCATTTCCCTCTGTTTTTTTTGGGACACATAAGTCTCCATCTTTCTATTTTTTTAATTTTTTTCACCTTTTTTTCTTTCTGTTTTTAATAAATATCTTGACAGTTGATAACCCGCCAAATTAAGTCTGATTTTGACTGCTAGGTTTTATTTTTGTTGTACTAATTATAATAATACACGTTTCTTAAAAGATAGAGAAAAGTATACTAACTTTTCCTATGTTCCCACCTTAACTACAGAAATTTCTCTCCAGTTTTATAACACACCAAAGATTCCCTGAAATCAATAGTTATATAACACAAATCTACATCCCATTTTCAAGTTGTCATTTCCGTCTGCTAAACGCTTAAACCATTAATGTTTTTGGTAAACGACATATTTCAAACCAAAATACCTCTTTTTACCATAATTTAATCTTTTTTTCAGTTATATAAACTTATTTATTGATTATTTTTTAAAATTTTAAAAAAATTAATTAGATAAAATCATATTTTAAAAAATTGAATAGAATAGATATTTAATATAATAAGAAATAAATTAGACAATTTTTAACAGAATTAAAAATTGAACTATAAAGGGAGAGGAAGGTAATTGTATTATACACAAGACATGATCCCCACACTCACCCATCCATACCGTCGATTATAGCAGTGATCACGTGGCACTCATCCTAATCATCTCAGATACCCACCGCAGTAATCAGACTATTCTTCTAAATTTTAAAAAATAAAATAAAATAAAAAGTAAGGATGAGAGAGAGTAAACATGCTGATTTTTTCTTCACGGGTTTTCTGATGATGACGCATCGCGGCAACTACCAGCCATTCATTTATACGACGCCGGATGTCCCAATCCTGATTGATAAGGTTCCCTCCGACCTCTCCTCTTTTTTTTTTTTTTTTTTTAACAAGTAACTTGATAGTGTTGATGATGCACCAGAATTAAGAGAACAAATTAAAGGTATATAATTTTAAGATAAGTCCTCTAATTGACTTATAGACAAGGATATTTTAGTTATTCATATATTGTTTCATTTTCTTTTCTCTATATTTTCTTTCATTCATATTCATCTAAACAAGATAGGTAATTTTTTTTTTTTTTCAGTTTTCTCTTCTCTTCATTTTCTCTCTTCCTATTTTTTTTTCCTCCCAACTTTTCTTCCCATCCAAACAGATCATTAAACTACTTTGATGGAAAGACAAGCCTGATATATACCCAATTCTTTAATTTAATCTCTAATCTCTAATAGAGAAAAAGTCACACTTACAGAGGTGCTGACACTGCAAATAATTGCAGAAAAAATGAATGACCCACTGAGCAGTATGTGGAAGAACCTAAGCAGAATCTAAAGTGCTAAGCACAATTTGATTTACCAACCCTATTGGCAACTTAAAACCTAAGTAAATATGACAAAGAAAAAACACATCACTATATTATTTGAACAATCACATCCTTGGATGGTGATTTGTTTCGTCATTATAATGCATTCAAGCAACTAGCAGGCCACAGAGCATGCCGCAGATTTTATAGGAACTAAAATGTCACCAACTACAGATTGAACATTGGCTGCAGCTTCCAGGCGTTCCCATGTTATTCTTCGCCTCTCGGCTTCAGCAACTGACTTCAAATCTTCCTCCTCCAAGTTATGTTGGCAGGCAAGCGCTAGATCCTCATCCATCTGAGAGATCATCTTCCTGATGTTCTTAGTCAGGTTGAGTACTGCTTGATTCCAGTGATTTTGGGTGTTACGTACAAGAGCTGAGAAGATGAGAGGCAGAATCACCTGCCGATTGTGAGTGATCAGATTAAGGATGTGTTCGTTGTTCCACAGCAAATGGGCACGTTCAGCCACCTGTTTCATGATATGAAAATAATTTCACTAATATCCTTTACATGCATTAGCACTGAAGTAAATGCCAGTTGATTAGGAATTACAGAGAGGAACCCTAGAGACTAATATTACATTGTGGTCTATGTCCAGATTCTAGGTCATCTTCCTATACAAAGCATTTAAGCTCTCATAGTCAAAGAAGTACAAAAGAGGTTCAAAACATAAAAAGCTTCTCGATATACAAAATGTAATGTCCTAATTTCTGATTCCTTGGTACTGTTGACCAGGTGGAAGAGAAGTTTGTATTGTAGTAAAACAAGACTTTTAATCAGATATAAAAGCTGTGTTTTACCATATTACAACTAAAAGAGAGGCAAAATAGCAGAAAGCCAGAAGCTACCTGATAATGGGAACTGTTAAGGCAACCACCTATCCGTCTAAACAGTGGGACCATAATCTTCTGGAATTCCACCATGCTAGTCATTTCCAACAACTCTTCCAATTCACTCAAGAACATTAACTCCTTTTGACTATTTGTGACTGGCCAGTACTTCAATAGTCCCTTAATCACAGTGCTAGCCAGTTTTGGATCCTTATCTATGAACTGTACAACGCAATATGTTAACTGCTGATGATAGATACCCACGGACTTGGGTTTGTGCAGGGGAATCAAAACCCTCCATAGAAATGTTCTGTGCTCCTCCTTCAATGGCAAAGCAAATCCACTAATAATGCTCCCAAATATCTCCAAAAGCTCAGCAATTCCATTATGACGTTCAGTCTCGAAAACAAACCGGTAGATAATGTTGCTAACTGATTTCCGTATAAAAAGCCTGTGTGCTAAAAATTTCCCATAGATCCTATGCAGGATTGCTTTCAGGGAGTCTCTTTCTCTAGGGTCCTCAGAATCAAAAAGGTCCAGCAATCTCAGAATGAAAGCATGGTCAAGATACATTTTTGCCAATTTCACATCAAGAGAGTTGTGATTGATAAATTGAAGGAGGAGGTCATAAACAACTTGCAGGTGGGACCAGGCAGGATCAAAGATTGGTTCTTCATCTGCTGTTTCACCACCAGTAGAACTAGAACGAAACTTGGGTGGGAAATCCCTGAACAAATTGCTTGCACACATTTTACACATGGCAGAAATTGCTGGTTCCGTAAACCTTGCGGATCCAGAAGAAACAAAATCTACAAGCTCTGTCAGTGTTTGACGTTTAAGATCTAGCTCTGAGCAGTTCCTATCAGGATCACTCATATCATAAACACTGCAGCAAAAACTCAACTTACTGATAAACATGTTTTGCTTCTGTGCATTTGAAACATCTTTGAAGGAAAGATGTGGGTCAACTGCTTCCACACCAGCACCCATGCTTGCAGGGAAAACCGCTGACGATACCCGCTTCACAACATTTAACTTGCTCGAAATGGCAGTCCCAACATTTGTACATTGAAAGACATTCCCAAAGCTCGTGGGATTCCCAGAATCACTCCGTGTAGTATCTGATGGGTCAGATTTTGGCACCTTCTTAGGCAATTTGCTAAGAATTTGCTTTAGCATAATGGTAGTGCTGCAAGCCAGCAGAGGAACACCTGCATGGAGTTTATAACTATCAGCTGAAATCATAAATTATATCTTTCAGGCTTCAAAAGCATGAAAATCCTTAGTTAAAAGGCTTAAGCCTAAGCACTCTTTATGTCGATTGCCCCACGAACCAGGAAATCTGAACTTGACATGATAACTCAAATGTGCACAAAAATTGGAAATTAACGTATGTCTATAAGATGGGACCATTTTGAAGATTATAACAGATAAAGATAAAATTTGAAAATTGGACCAAGCGGTTGTGTCAACCGAATCGAGGATGATCATAAGTCTAGCGTAATAAGGAATTGGAATGTCATGTAAGAAATGTAAGCAACAAATTAAAGTCAGATCCAGCTATGTTTATGAAGTTATATGGAGTGTTAACAGAATCCAACACATCCGGCAGAATGCCCATAAAGAACGGAGAAGGATTAAGACTATAACGCTACCAGATTATTAAAGTACCAAAACTGGTCTCTCAGCAGCACTAACCCGTTGTCAAGTCAGATCAAGTTCATCTCAACAAAATAGAGGAAAAATATGTTGGCCGTAAGAATAAAGAAATTAATACGCAAACGCCCCATCTTTAGCAAGGAATTAACGAACCATTGTTAATGGAAACTTAAGGTTGTAATAGATATAGGAGGAGATAGAAACCGAGATCTGGGACTAAAATTAGAAAAAATAGAGCAAACTACTTGATGAACCATTAAAGCCGTGTATAATCTGTGTAACACCTTAGAATTATCGCCAGTGGTCAAAATTTTAGCTTAATAATTCAACCGAGGGAAAAAAAAATCTGAACACCACTGAAGATCGAAAACTTCAGAACCCGAACCCCATAGTTGAGAGAGAAAGAGAAACGACCAACCTGAAATCTTTGGAGTGAGACAAACCCCACTAAGGAGGAAGAGAGGTAGAGCAATTCAATGAAGGCCTTCAATATTTTCCGCGGAGATCAAACCCAAAAAGGGTGCTCCTCCGGAAAGAGAGAAAATGCAGCGTGAGAAGGTGAAATTGATGAGCAAAAAAATGGAGATTTGGGAGTTGCAATAGTTGGAGAATGGAGGGAGACCCAAGCAGGAGATTTCAATGATCGATCCCCATGAATGGCCCCCAACTTTCTGCCCCCTCGATTCAATAGAATAAGAGAGGAGACACGTCATTCAGAAAGACAGAAACTGTAGGCACAGCAGTTCTGTCACTACCAAACCAAGAAGTTAACACACAATTATACAGCCATTGGGTACTCCTACCACAGAGTATATGTCTTGGTATGTATAATTTTAACTCTCAAGTCTCAAATTTTTTTTCCGAATATGTGGTCTGAGATAGATATGAGGTAAAGAGCTCGTGAGATTTTGGATGTCATGTCAGTTACAGTTAGCTTGCCTGTTCGGCCATGTTCATAAAGTACAGAGGTTAATTCTTTTTCTTAAAAAGGAAATTTTTTTTATTAACTAATCCACGTTGCTCTTGTCCTATTTATAAATTAAAAAGATAAAAAAAATTTTGTTTAATATATAAGATATTAAAGATATTTTTATATAAATATATAATTTTACCTTTTTATTTATTATTATATTACTTTATTTACATAAATATAATGTATGTTAAATAGAATAAAATTAAAAATTATTAAATTTTAAATGAGAATTAATAAAATTTGAGTTTTTTTAAATTTGTGTGAAATATATTAAAAGTAACTTATAAATAAGATCTTACAAAGAGTTTTTTTTTTTTAAAATGACATTTTCTTTGTGGTCGCATCTTTCTTAAATAATATTTTATTTAAATAATATTTTACGCATGATGCAATAGTTTTATGTGAAGTCAACGAGATGTCACTGACAACAAAGGTATCCTAAACTCTGGTCCAAAAAAGAAAAAGAAACAAGGGTATCCTAAGCGTAAATTAATCCTTTGTTAATTAATGCTATGTGTTAATAATAAATCATTTTATTAATCCGATGCAATTAATTAAATTTAAATGACTTTCACGTTGAATGTTCCATTCTATGCTTTTATGATGGGGGGAAAAATGTGACGCTCGTATTTCATCATACCCCTACTAAAAAGAAAAACGCAATAGCTCGAGGCGGCTACTGCCTACTGGCCATCTTCTATCTATTAATTAGTTAATTTATTTATTGAGAGTAAAATAAAAAGATTAAAACCCATTCAATGTCTTGAAATATTTTTTTCGAATGCACCGAGGATCTTAAAATATTTTGTTATACATTCAAATATTTTAAAATATTTTTTCAGGCGTATCCAATACTATAACGTATTTTTTAATATATCTAGCATTTTGAAATATTTTTTTAGATGCGTTCAGTACTAAAAACATTTTTTGATACATCAAATACTAAAATCCGAAAAAAGACTTCAAGATATTAGATGTTCCTAAAAATGTATTTTAAGCTACTAAATGGAGCTTGAACCAAAATAAAACTCAACATTTTAGGTGGGGGAAAATGAAAACCAACTTTTCATGTGTTAGGTTTTATATTGGAAAACACCAAAATCAAAGTTTTGGTAGAAGCAGCCGAGTCTATAAATGTAAACTGGGGTGACGGCTTTTTTTTTTTTTGGGGTTTGTGTTTTGGGAAATGGAATCGAATCTGTAGAATTTAATAGAAAAGGGTTTTAAATATTAAATTAGAATAATAATGAAAGGGGAGCGGTGGCTGCCTCTGGTGGAAAGGAATTGATGATGATGAAAGAAAGAAATGCAGAGGTTTTGCAGGAGAGAAGATGCATCAGATTCTGATTCAGTGGTAATTATATTCACTCATTACAGTCTCTGAATCTTCCTCTTGTTTCGTCACCCTGCAGCGTCAAATGAATCGGGTACGTTTCGATGTTATTAATGGCTCTGTAAATGATCCTGCTTCCACTGTCCAGACCCAAAGGGACGGCATGTTCAGTTTAATACTTTCATGCAAAAGTCAGAGTTGGAATATCATTGAAGCTCCCATAATTTATTGCTGTAAGAAACTTCAACGTGTTGTTTACCACCAAAAAAAAAAAAGACACGCACACGCACACTCTTCAGAGTGTTGTGCTTGTTCCATCATACAGCGAGGTAAGTTGTGAATTTAAAATTTGAATTTTCATTGGAAGGTGCCTATATTTAGTATAGGATTGTTTTTAATAAAAAGATACATATGTTTATAAAAAAAAAAAAATTCTTGTTCAGGCCAACAAACAATTTTCTTGTGAGTCGTTAATTTTTGAACAAAAAAAATTAGAGAAACAAGCACTAATGATCTCAAACCCACGATCTCCTCTCACTTGAATGAATATGATCATCAAGGATAATTCTAATAAATCAAATTTTAATGGCTCAAGAAATTTTGCATATCGAATTCATTTTAATAGTCTGCTGCAGAGGTCTCAAAAGCCATTTCCTTACAAAACAAACTCAGTGCATGGATGACCACCTTTTTGAATTTTACTGAGCTCCCTTGGGCTATGGGTGTGGATTATCTTGAATAAACGTGTTATTTCGAAGTCCCATATTTTTACTCTCTCTGTTGATGAGTGACATGCCACGTTGTTCCATAGCCCTTCACTTGAACAAATAAAAAGGAGGAAAAAAAATAAAATTCTACATCACCAGGGTACCCCTCTTTTTTTTTTCCTCGATTTATTTACACTATTTTTGTTCTGCCGGACTGATTTATTACACTTTCGAAAACAACTGGCGGAGAAGACTTGCAAGGCAATTGAATCAGAGGGCACATACAATTACACCAATCATTGGGACTGTGTTCCTTAGAAGTACCCCACCATCAAGAGCCAAGCATAAAAATATAATAAAATCGTATCCTATACAAGCCTAGCCATCTTGGCGAAGCATTAAATATTGAAGACAGCCTAATAGCATGTTGCGTAACCATTAATCAAAAAGGAATATAGAACAACCACAGAGGAGAGAGGGGATAGCCAGAAGCTAATACTTACAAAGAAAATGAGATTACTTTCTTCCAGCAACCCCAGAGCAAAACAAATCAGAGAGTGCATGTATAAATGTTATATATAACGACATGTAGATCAGACAAACACTAGCAAGACTCTCCTGTTAGAGGCACGATGCAAGGGCCAAGGAGACTGATGCCTTTCCAGCTATCTAGGTGCTTTCTGCTGGAATCTGATTGTTGGCATCCAAATTGTTGGACTGTTTTGGCCTCCACTCTGTCCTGCCCCTCACAATCTCAGCACCATCTTCAAGCCTAAGCAAATGCTTGCACTCTACACCTCTGCTTTGAGCTAAATTACCGGCATCAGCACTAGAGACAGCTGTCAGTGATTGCAGTACACTGTCCCTACCACACTCCCTCCGGTACTCCAGAGTCATGGAGCAAAGCTCGTGGCTCTCCAGAATTGACTGGGGAGCACTCTGCACCAGTTGCAACATAATCCTTGGGGTTAGGAGACCTTGTAAAATTGATGCATAACATGCTATGCGTTAAACAGAACAGATGAAGGTTTTGATCCTTATGACTGTTAAAAAGTCCTCTCAAGAGAAGATCACATATCACAATGTTCTATTTTTCAAGCCTTTTCATGCCTGATAGCATGTCATAAACAAATAAGCCCCCCAAGCACTTCAGTGATGCATCGAATACCCAGAACCATACCAACTCATTATATGCTTTATCATTAAACGAATACAAATTCCATATCAGTCTTGTGCCATATATTATCTATCAATTCCATCGCAAGAAACACTGCAATGTTATGATTTGATCTATCATATTTATGCTCAAAGAGAATCATCACAAGCATAAGCGAAAGGAGATGGACCAAAGAAATGAAAGAGAAAAAGATTGCGAATGGATGGGCACGCAGTCATTGTAAGAATAACAAACTACCTCCAGGATCCAGCCAATGTACTTCACATTGTTAACATGCTGGTTGACATCCAAGTCATTCCACCGCGGCTGAAATCACAGGACATAGCATTGACAAAGTCAGAAACGTATCAGGCAACTTAAGAAAATGAAATAATGATAATAAGTACAAAACAGTTGACATACGCTCAAGCCTGTACGCTTATAGTCTGCTGTGACATCATCAAGTTTAGGGAGTTTTCTGTTATCCTCTTCCACAACAGGATCAGAGTTCACAAAGAAGGGCCCTATCTCTCCTCTAACTTCTTCTGGTATTTTAGATAGCCTCCTTGTCAGTTTATTCATCATAACCCAAACACTACAAATCAACAAAACCAAAACAGAAGAAACTATTGTTAGCAGAATCATGAATTTTCAGCTACCAAACTGATATGCACAAATATGCGGATCATTACATCAATTAAAATTGTCAAAGGCTTCTTATTGAAACAAGTCTATTGCTGATAGCAAGAGGAGGACAAAGAGGAGGAATCATACTGCACAGAAATGGTTACTACCTGGAGGCTCTTGTCAATGTTTCACCAGTTTTGCAATCACGCACAACCCAATCACGACGCATGCCATTCTTCCCCGAAGCAGAAACCCAAGTGTCTACTTGAACAACATCACCCCTGAAAAGCAAATACAGACTCTTTCACTTCAGATTGCTCCATTAAAATCTCACTAATAGTTTCTCCCACTACCCATCAACACCAGCAAGCCAAAAGAACAGAAAACATGAAGTCCTCAGCAAGCAAAGATGGTATAGAACTAACAAACAAAATTAAGTTACAAGAAGCACTGAAGTTGCCTGCATCTGCTCGTGGATTCTTACCGCAATTTTAAAACTAGACTATGCAATCAATAAAATCAATGTCTTATATTATCTCATCCAGATGAACGACTCTAAGGCATAGGCTTCCCAGAGTCCATCAACGGCAAATCTCATGCTTCTCGGACATGTTGTCAACTTATGAACCCAGAAGAACTAGAGGCGCAAAATAAGAATATGGTTAAAACTCAAACGTCATGCAAATTTTGTGCAAGAAAACACACAGTCCACACATGAACTGGAGAAGCCCCAAATGTCCTGAATTATATTTTTTATAGACTCATCAATCATCAATCATCAATCATCAAAATTGCTAAAATAAAAAGAAATTGTGGATGTTTAGGCAAATCATTAAATCACATATATGGGTGAGCCAAGGTGACATACCATGTAGGATAACGATCAACCACGACCTGCATCCGAGTAACCACCCATATCAAGTTCTTTTTACACATCTCCGGTGTAGAACCAAAGCCATCGCCAAGAAGCCCTGAGCTCTTAACATGGTTAAGGGCAGTTTCCTGTTGGAAAACAAACAATAATATACAGGCTCTCTACCACAAATCAACGCCTCTCTGAGAACATTATTAGAAATTTGTTAGCAGATCATACCTGCAAATGGTTCATTAACGTCTCAATAGATGCTGTTCGATCAGCACCTATTTCATAGGACCTAATAGAAAAGTTCTCCCGAAACACAAGACCATCCTGAACAATTTTTCCTATACCAAATGGATCCATAAGCATGTCAGGTCGCTTTGGCTTCCAATCAAGCATCATCCACTGCTTCTCAGCTGCCAAGAAAATTGTTGTGATGGCAGCTAGAAGCATGCTCCAATCAGGCAACTGGTTAATAAAAGTCCTTGGGGAGGATGATGGGGTATCATTTCCATGTTTCACGGTTTCCAGAGATGTAGTAACTCCATTAATCTTTGATGGGGCTTGAGCATTTGCCTTAACTTGCAAGCCACCAGAAGTAGATTTGGACTTAAGTCCTCTGAACCCACCACCAAGTTTGGTAGTCTTCGCACCAGAGTCTGGTGAGGGTGAAGTAACAGGGAAAAACGAAGATGTAGCAGCAGTTGCCACCATAATGAGTTCTCAAGCTGCATGGAAGTTGAAGCAAGTTAAATAATATACATATACATATATAATAGATCTTCTCAAACAACCCAACCTCGAAAGGAAGGGAAAAGTGGAAGAGGTGACAACGGAAACAATGATAGAGAATTCTACGGGACATGCGTCAACATGAAACATCATTAAACTTCACCGAAATGATAATGCGTCAAAACATTTTATATCACACACAAAAAGGGTGATACCAAAATAAAGGAACTAGAAAAAGGTTTTCGTCCTTAGTTCCAGAACATATTCATGGAGCTCTTTTCCAATCTTTTGAATATAAACTCATTTGAAACTCACATGCGTCCTTAACCATAAGAGATCGTCGTTTTTGCCATCTAAAACTTTTATCGGTACGAATAAGAGAAAAAAAAATACGTAAGAAAAACTGAATTAATCGCATTCTTGATATTAAATCCTCAGCAAAAGTCGGCGCAGATCTGACTCTGTATCTAAAAGCATCACAATTCACAAGCTAAGATTACGACAAATGACATAAAATGGAGAAGCCCAAGAAAAGAAGGGAGATACAAACAAGAAAAGAACAAACACAGAGACAATAACTCATAAAACATAGCAATCTGCCACAACAACATCAAAATTCCCAACAAACACGATCCAGTCCTCACTAAACTTTTTTTTTCCCCAAAACAAAACCCAAAGGGGAAAAAAAAAACTCTGCCCAGAAACTCAGAAACTTCAATGCCGCATTTTGAAAAAAGCAGAAAGACGGGATCTTCCACCATTGAAAAAAGCACAAAAAGAAACCGGAGGGAAGTTCAGAAACAGGAATGAGATGGTTCCCGAGCGTACGTTCAATACCGAGGCAACCAAGCAAGCAGGGCACGAGAGCTGAGGCTCCAACACCGAGATCAGACGAGGAAATTCAGGGCCCGAGGTCCCTACTTGACCCAAGCAGAGACAGAGCACCACAGCCGTTTGAGCCTGTAAAGCGGTAAAACGACAACAAAATTTTGGAGGAGGAGGACCTGGAATAACGAAAGCTGAAACGGGAAAAAAGGGCTAATGTGTCATTTCGGATCTGCAAATCCCTCCCTCGTCTCTCCCGTTGTTTACAGGGTCTGCGTGCGATCTCCTTGGAGTTGAAACCCTTTTTTTCCTAAAAAAATATTATTAGTGTATATAACGTTAAAATATTAATTGTGCCTAATAACTTTCTAAAAAGCCAGAGGCAGAATCCGAGAAGAGAGAGAGGGAGAGAGAGGGAGACCACTGCTAGGGCCAGCGAGATTGAATTTGTACGAGTGAGAGGCATTGTTTGTTGTCCAGAAACTTCGCTTTATAGTATCCACGCGCCTGGCCCTCCCCCCTCTCCTTCCCAACTTCCGAGTTTTCAGCTTTCTTTTCTTCTTTCGGACCCCAGTCTTCATTTACCTTCCTGCCCTTCCCCACCTTTATCCCATCACGCGCCCTGCTCTTTCCACAGTAAAATTCCCCTTCCTCTCTTCTATTTATTTTTTAAAGGGGCAATTAATCCACAGCTCCTTATAGTTTCAATTAATTTTGAATCAGGTCCTTATAGTTTTTTTTCTTTTTATCAGGTCCTTATATTTTCATCTGTTTTTAATTAGGTCCTTGTATTTATTTTTCTTTTTATCAAGTCTTTATAAGTTTTTTATTTTTAATTAAGTCCCTGAATTTTTTATTCTTTATTTTATAAATTAATAGTTTTATATATATAATTAATATTATTTAATATTAGTTTATAAACAATAATATTCTAAAGATATTGAATTATTATAATGATTTTAATTTTTTCAGCAAAAAAATTAATTGTTCTAAAAAATATTCCTGAATTAATTAATTCTATTACTTTTTTATTACATAATTATTAATTTAATTTAATTATTATATTTTATATTTCATTATTAATCTATTTAATTAAGTTATATTTAATTAATAAATAAAAATTAAAACTACATGGACCTGATTAAAAATTTAGTGAAATTATAAGGACTTAATTAAAAGAAAAATAAACACAAGTACCTAATTAAAAAAGCTAAAAGTATAAGGATCTGATAAAAAAAAAAACTATAGGGACTTGATTCAAAATTCGTTGGAACTATAAGGACTTGCGGATTAATTAACCCTTTTTAAAAAACAAATTTGGTTTGAAATCTGCGTTTTTTTTTTTTAAATATGGCTATCTAAGTCTCACGCTCGAATGTTATCGGGTCAAATTAAGAGTAGCTTCATCAGAATTTGAGACTTCGTGCTCAGGATTTCTTTTAGTATCACTAATGCGTGTTGGTATTTGAATGTATTTGACAAAGACAGGGAGAATTACGTATAGGACTCTAATTAAAAAGATAATACTCTTTCGGTCTTTAATATAAGACTCATTTAACTAATTTGATTAGATTAAAGAAGTTAGATAAGTTAGTTAATTATGAGAAATGTGATGCGTTTTTCCTAAAACACCATAATCATTTTTCTTAATACCCCATCCCCCTCTTCTACTTGATTATAGTTGAGGGAGTATCTATAGGAGTAGTTTAGAGAAAATTGATAAATATGATAAATGTGAATTATATTTAGGACAAAAACCAACTCAATAATTAGGTCATATATTAAGAACCGGAGGAGTAATAATTATCCATGAGTTCTGATGTTATGGCTAGCCTTAGGCAGATTAGGCGCTTAATTAACAATACCATCTCATAAAATTTGAATATAAATAGATTAGGTGCTTAATTAACAATACCATCTCATTTAACTTATACTGTTTGATATATTGATTGATCATTTTGGGCATGCAACAATTAGGATATATAAAAATTCACAGATTTAGGGCATGTTGTAGATACCAGATGCATAAATAAATAAATAAATAAAAAGGGTGGGGAAATTTTAATTTAAAAAATTCTAATTTAGTAAAAGCAGTATTGATGGGATGCAAAAATCAATTCACCGAGGACAGCTAAACAAACATTCAATACAAACTAAGTTTGTAAAACTTAGTTTAATATAACTTAGTCATGACATTAATATTTTTAGTGATAGAGGATAATATTGTTAAAATTTTAATCTTTCGACAAATTTATATAAAAAAAGCTCGGAATGATTAATATTTTTAAGTGAAAACTTACAAGGTAAGTTTGTACTATAATCTTTTTGCAAACCAACATAAGAATATGAATTTGTGTTTTGTCAGTATGGGGAAAAAGAAAGACAATAAAGCTACGAAAGAACTATGGAAGCACAAAACCATACGTCCTAAACTCTGTTTGTCTAAATCAAACCCTTCTTGCTGGCCAAAAATAAAATCTGACCCTTCTGGTGTACTACTTTAAGAGATTAGCTTAGTTTTTAAAAGAGGTCATGGCCAACCCTGACATATTGATTTGCATATTTATTTCTTTTTTCTGAAATGATAAAAAAATTTTGGGGGGGGGGGCTCAATGCAACGAAAACTTTATTAATAAGCGATTCCCATTATTTCTATAAATTTTGCCCACTGCCCAATGAAATTTTAATTTTTAAAACCTAAGTCACTAAAACTTTTGTTGATAGGAAAAATAAATCAAGAATTTGTGAGGACTCTAATCAACTTTCCAATTGGATTTTTTCAACTAAAAAATAATCAAGTTTGATTTCACAAAGGTGATTAAAAAACACTTAAATGTCATGACTCCCACATCATCAATCAAGCTATAAATAAGAAATGGCAAATACTACTTCCGGTTCTTAATATAATATCCTGTTTAATTTTTATTTTGATCCTAAATATAAGATCCTGATCTATCTTTTCTCTCATATTTATATATTTTTTCTCAAGGTAGTCTTTCTAAAAATAGTAGTTCTGGTTAATACATTTGATTAGTAAGGATATTTTAGAAAGGACAACATCTATTTATTACAAATAACTAACTTAATTTTTTTTTAATTTTCTCAAATCAATCAACTAGCTCTTATAATTAGGATCGAAGGTAGTAACAAAGAAATATTATACTACTTTTATATTATATATCTATATCTATATTATGTGTATTTATATTATATATCAGCAAAAGAAAGCCTAATTTATCTGAAAGTGCGGACGCTTGCATACTATTAATTGTCAAGGGTGGTTATGAAGACGGGGCCGAAAGCGCTGATGCACGTGCGGGTGCAATCTTGTAATTATTCAAACTTAAATTGGTTCTTTCGTCCCAAGCTTAACAGCTGGAGCGGCTGTTAATAATTAGTAAAAGTCTTCGAGTTATCCGTGGTGGCCTTTCTCAATCCTCGCACAATAGATCACATCGGAAAAATTACGCCCCAGGACCCAAATTTGCAAATATTCCCTGCCGTGTATTTTTTTAAAACAGAAAATCCTTTCAACTTTTAACTAATATGCCGGCTTGACAAAAATACTTAAGATTGGGTTAAAATAATAAATATATACAAATTCAAATTTGAAGTATTTTTTTATTCAATAAAAGAGTAAATAGCACAAAGAAATATTGACAATGAAATAAATGATAAAAGAAAATATAGTATAAGAAAAAGATGATCTGAGAGAATAGAAAATGGGAAAATTATAATAAGATCTAAGAAAGAAAAATAATTATAAAACAGGTCTTAAAAATTATCATTTTCTATTCTAAAACTTGTCATTACAGATTATTTAGATTGTTATTCGAATATTTTTTTAATAATTATTTTTTTGGAGACCTCATTGTAATTCTTCTAGAAAAAATTAATTAGGAGTGGAATGAACAGATAAAATAGACAAAAGATGTTTCCCCTTTGCAAATATGAATTATTTAAACAAATCTGGAGGCTATTTCAAAAAAAAAAAACTCAAAATTACAGTCAAGTGATTACTGGCGCAGCCAAGATCCCACTATTTATGAATGTAAACATTTTTTTGCCAATTTTGTGAGTGCAAAATATGAATATACATAATTTAGGGAATAAATTAAAAATAAACCGAATGAGTTTAGTGATAATACCACTAGATAAATTCGGTAAATAGTCAATTATTTAATTACAAGTGTAAGTAGTCCGGTTTAATATTGGGGTTGGCGGCCGATTTGGGAAGCTACTCTGGCAAAGACGTTGCATTTCTCTCCACCAAAAGCCACTGATTCATTGTGAATTATCCATAATAATGGACTCTTTACACATTTATATGACGTGTTAATAACTTTGTGTACTTTAAGGGTGGCTTTAACATTAGCTTAAGTATCTTCTTTGGAGCTTTTACATCCCACTTGAAATAGTGATTTACAGAATGTGAGATAAGTATGTGAAAGAAATTTTGTCTTAGTTTACATAAAATGTACCTATAAATAATATGTTGATATGAGCATTTATATGCACTTTTATTCACATACTTATCTCATATCATGATTAAAAAATTATTTTTAAAAGACTCTAATAGTCATTCTGGGCATGTTTGAAATAATTTATAAATAGCTTGTCAATCTTGATTTATAGAATACGAGGTAAATATGCAGAAAGAGTTTTGTCTCGACTTACTAGTACATGAAACATATTTATAAATTCTTTTCATGATGATCCCAAACGAAGCTTACATAAGGGCTAAGAAATTTGGAAAACATAATGTAATTTTAAATAAAGAAAACCGACATGCAACGCTTAATCTTACCTTATCCATGACTGTGTGTAATTATGAAATACTACCTCCAATGCCTAATATAAAAATTAGCTTAAAATTTAATTTGATCATATATATAAGAGCTCAATTTTATTTTGTTTTTAATATTTATTTAGTTTGCTTCAAGTAATCCACGTCAGGATGATTATACATGTTAAGGAGTTTTCATAAAATGTTAGTTTCAACATGATTAATAAAAGTATTTTATAAAACACAATATCTATTTATTCTAAATAACTATTAACTAAATATTTTTTTAATATTCATAAATTAATTATCTCACACTTATATGAATAATGAGAGTTGATATATGAATCCGTTACTTACTGTCTCGTTGCCACGTCACAAACTCACAACCAGCTGCTCTTCTTGTGTTTGTTAATATTTCCTTTCTTTCTTTTGATATGATACCGCCTTCATCTTATTTGTAAGTAATCCAATCATATTTAATTCTTTAAAAATTTAATAATTTTTTAATTTTACTTCTATTAAATATACATATTTTGAAGATTAAATAAGATATGCAAGCATTCAATGAGGGGCAAAAGGAAACTAGTAATAAAAGAAATAATGATATGCCTTATGAAAAATAAAATGTTTTAATTCATCTAATTGTCTTAAATGGAG